GCTGTTTAAATTGTTTTGACTGGACTTGCAAGATTGAACTGACTTCAGCACTGCAAGACCCGGCACTTGCTCTAGAACTTTTGCAGCGGTTCCTTGATGAAGGCAGAAGCTCTTTTGAAGAAGTGTTGTTTGTTTTTCAGTAAGTTTATCTGACTTTGTCTACAGTGTTACAGCTCATGTTCAGGCTTTTGTTTTTATTTGTCTTTTAGGAAAGGAAATGACAATGAGCGATACAATCTTCTTAGCTGTTCGCTTCTTCGCCTACTCCGTTTCGTCACACCTCATGTTGAAATTATGGATGAAAATACTCGTGATTTTCTTTGCTGCGCTCTTATAACTGCTCTAGAGGTCCTCATGAGGCTTTTAAGGCCACTTTCCTCTATTAGTTTTGCAGCTGCTTAAGGATGCTTCTTAATGGGTCACATCATCCTTAAAATGTCTTTTTAATTTTATTTTTATGTTTTATTTAGAGTAGCCAAGAAATCGCTGCGGAAAGTGCCGATGAGGTTTTCGGAGTGTTTTTGTCATTTGCTGTTCGGTTATTCGAGGAATGTTCCGGATTGTGCAGAAGGATGAAAGAGAACAGTTCCTTTGCTGTTTTTATTGAGGTGGTAGAAGAAGAATAACTGAGTGTTTTTTTCTTTGATTCGTTAATTTATAAAACTTATAAAAACTTGAATTGTAGGAGTGGAATGCTTTTTTTTCGATAGCTGCTGAAAAGATTATATTTTCTTTATTCATGTCATTGGGAGGTATTTTTGAATCACCTCTTCTTTCGCACTATGTTTCGTCTGCCATTCATTTTTGTTCGTTAACGACTTTCAGAACAACTGAGCTTCAACCTTTGTGCGATCCCGAATTAGACTTTTTGAAGTTAGTTTGATTCTTGAACAGTAATTAGCTTTCAGTTTTGATTTTTCTTTATTTGGACAATATTTGACCATGATGGTCGTCACTGTTATTTGTTTCAAGTCTAATAGAAGTGTTTCCAGTTACCCGGTCGATATTCAGTCCTTAGCTGTACGGCTGATAACACTAATTAGGTCACCTTTGTGTTGTGTCCAGTTTGCCGCACTTCGTGTTTTGAAATTGTTCGTAGTTATTTGACATGTTTAACTTCTCCAGTAAAACATTTTCGTTGTTCTTGTAAATTATTTTTGCACAGTTTATTTCTATTCTAGATTCAAAAATAAAGTAGGCTTTGAAGGCGAATTTCTCTTAGAGATTTAGCTTTGCATTATTTTTGATTACTGATTTAAAACTAATCAATTACCTTAGTATGCTGATTTATTTTAGGGTGATCAAAGAGATGCTTCTTTATGAAAATGGACCAGAGACTGATAATGAGGAGTCTGAAGATATTGTTGAAGCTCTTTCTCGAAAGTTACCTGTGTTTTGTACACGCCTTTTAGAAATGAAATCTAGTAAGACTGTACCGCCATCTTTTCTTGCTTGGGACGCCCTCATTTCTTCACTGGCAGAATTTGAGCCTATCGAACGTGTTCCATATTGTCATATGCTAATTCGACGTCTTAATGAAATTTTACCTCCTTTATTTGACAGCCTACCATCTTCTCCAAGTTAGTCATCTTCTGGACGTTTTTTCATTTTATCTCTTAGTTCGCGACTATCCAATGAAATTGGCGTCTCGTTCTCTAACCAAGCTGCTTTTAACAGTTATTCTACTTTGGGGTGGTAACTGGGTGGTTAAATAAGAAGGAGAAAACCTGCCATTTTTGGATAGATGGTTGTCTAATTCGCAGACTGTGCTGAGTCTAGCACTGAAGCACATGAGTGGGTCAACGGAATCCCCAATCTGTTTGTCCACTGTCGGTCGAAGCCACGGCTGTCACTTCAGATTACTTTTTCAGGGCCGAGCGAAATTTACACTGACACGTCATTGTATATCAAGGAAATGTTACCGATGGAAAGTTAGACGTTCCACGACTTTTGTTATTAATATATTAATAAATTGTTTGAAAATTATCTGAATTTGATAACTTTTACTTTAAAGTTTTTCAACGAAGACTCTGCAACCTCATTTATCGAGTATGCGTAAGTTTTCTGGTTTTAGTGATTTCTTGTTATTGCTTTGGATTGTATTACCGGACTTTGGTTACTGTTCCTGCTCTTGTACGCCAGTGGTATGCATCACTTCCGCGGGCCGTGGCAATTATGGTCAATGAGTATGTCTGTTTTCTTCTGCAATTAGGCCAGTTGATAGTGGCATCTTTTTGAGTTTTGAATTGGTTTCCTAACAGAATCATAGGACTGATTTATTACAATAGTAAACATGAAACCAAGTACACTGGTTGCTTGTTTTATTCATATTTTTTGGCTTTTGTCTGCAATTTATGGTTTCATAGTTCTATAAGAAAAAAGAATAGAAAGTTTGTAATAATTATCATGAGTTGCAGTAAAGAGCAAAATATTTTGCCGGGTAATTTATGCTTCATTTTTTGAACAGTTTATTTTTAACATTATTCATCCCCGCTGTGTGCTTTTAGCCTATTTTGGTGACAGATGTATGGCATAAGCGATAAAATATGACTAATTTACTGTTGAAAGTTTTAGCTATACGTCAAAGTTTGTAAGTCCACTTATTTGGAAGGCAGAATGCGATAAACTGTCGTCACAGGAATTCCCATCGAGTTTAAAGGTAGTCAGGTCAGGTCATTTTCTTATAACCTGATGAAAGTTCTTGCTTTTCTCTCATATAGGTACGTTTACGTGGTGGAGGAGCAGTTAGGGAAATAGTGGCAGAATTTGAGCTTGATGACTCCAAAATAGAGTTGAATATTGAACTCCCGGTCAACTATCCGTTAAATGCTCCATCAATACAGAATGAGAAATCTCTTGTAGGACGTGAAACCAAACGGAGATGGGTCCTCCAACTTACACAGTTTGTAGTGTATCAGGTTACAACTTTATCTATGTTGTGTTTGTTGTAATAAGTAACTCATTTTTTGGGACGACGACTATCACTTGGTGGAGAGGCTCATGATGAAGAAGGGATCTTGCTGAAAACTAAAAAAAATTTTGTCATTTCAGTTAAGCTCTAGTATCAGAAGTAGTTAATGACCGATGATCTATAAGATTTTTTACCAAAGTTTTTTAAGAATGGGGCAATTGCTGATGCTATATCCCTTTGGGCTCGCAATGTTGAGAGGCATTTCGCAGGAGCTGAGGACTGTACTATTTGTATGTGTACTATACATTCAAGGACGTACCAGTTGCCCAAAGCCAAATGCAAGCACTGCAAGAAGAAGTTTCACTCTGAGTGCATTGTAGGGTTTCTTGTAGATTTCGATGATTAAGGATTTACTATTTATTTTGGTAACACATTTTTGTTTTGTTAACTTTCATAACTTTGCAGCGGAAATGGTTTGAATCGAGCAGTCAATCCACTTGTCCACTTTGCAGATCAGTATTCAGGTAGCAACGACTGTAGGACAGCTTTGGAACAACTATTAATTTTATCTCTTTGTAACGTTTTTCTTAACTTCCGCACGGTCTTTGGCACACTCGAACCTGTTGCATAAAATGCTGGTTTTGTTTGCTGGAATTCCATGGGCAGAAATGTGCTGTTTCTTGTACATTTCTTTTTCTTGCTGATTTTAATGGAAGGAAACACAAGCAGGATTTTTTCTTATTTCTCTTGTATTTCATGCTTCTGTTTACGTAAAAAAAATAAAAACTACGAGAAAGCATTCATTTTCAATACAAGAGAAATAAGAAAAAATCCTGCTTATGTTTACTTAATGCTCTTTTTCGTCTTGCCGCCGATGAAGTAAAGTGCACTTACCTGATCTGTTCTAATTTTTAAAATTCATCAGCTTTTCCGAGGAAGTCTGAAAACACAGGAAATGATTTTGATAGCATGCCGCCTTATCAGCATTTCCGTATAATGGGTGCGAAGAAAGAATTAAGCAGACGGTGTCATTCGGGTCAATGTAAATTTTGGTTGGGATTAATACGATGCTTACTTGTGTTTAATTTATAGAGTATCTACTGTATATGATGAATATAGTATTTTCTAGCAGTTTTTAAAGTGTGGGCTATTTTTTGACCATTTGATTTCTTTTACTATATCTTTTTTTTAAACCGTATTTTGTGTGGTACTACTACTTTTTTGAAGCACTTTTAGTAAGCAGACGCCGAGAATTGCTGAAGGTTAGCAGACAATTTTAAAACACTGGGTGAAATAGATGGAGCTATGGCACTTTGACGGTATATATATATATTTAGGAAGGGGCCGCGAAAGAGTAGAGGAGCCCCCTCTTTTGCTTTGCTGCTGTCCCCCTCCTCTTCATCGCTGGCCTCTTTTACTTTCCTCTCAAAAAGTAATTAGCCAATCGGTTGCGCTGGGGCCGTCAAAGTGCAACAGCTCCAAGCAGATAAGAGATGGAATTAGTTCTTGAAGTTAGAGGTCATTTAGCGGGCAGTAACTGAGCGTAGTGGGAGTTAGCGAGTTAAGAGTGGCTTTTTAAAAAAAATGACTGTCCTCTCAAGATCTGACGTGAGCATTCGCCATTTTTTTGCACGGAAAGAAGCGTTCAGTTTTGTTCTACTGAAGTAACAATTACTTTAATCTAGAAAATCAGTTCATAGTTAGCATTCAACTTGTTGATTTCTAAATATGCTTTTGGGTCGACTGCATAACGATTCTGACGAGGTGAAGCTGCTGAGACAGGATCTCAGAGCATTTTGGCGGAAAAATTTGGGGTTTAGAAAAGGTCGAAAAGGTCATTCATGTCAAATAACACTTGAAAGGAGCTTGTCATATACAGTTGAAGAAAGGTGTGCATGCGAAGCTCCGCACTGGCCTTCGGACAATCGTTTCATTTACTGCTCACTTGGACAATTGTTGAATACTCACTGATAGCTCGAAAAGCGTACGTTTTGCATTAGGAGAAAGACTGGTTTTCATTAGGGGAAGGCAGTCAATTGGTTACATTTCTTTAAAGAGGCTTTAGTGAAGTATCTATATTTTACTGAAGAGATTGATGGAGACTTCCTCAAATTAGCGCTAGGGTGTTTGGTATTTGAAAATCAAAGCTCCGCACGAGTATTACAGACTTAGTAAGACAATTTTTATTTTGTATGCTGGTGAACTGTAAAGGAAAAAGCCGTCAACATTCGAGTACAACTTTCTTGCTAGAGGCCCGAAAAATTGTTACGCCTGGTATGTAGGATGACTTATCGAAGCCGTTACTGTGCGTCCGTTTCGGTTTAAACATTGATGGTTTTATCCTTCCGTAAGCAGTACCTTTTATAACTTCTTGCTGACTTAAAGTGGCTTTTTGGTCAACCATTGCTTCAAGGGGTCAAAATTCGCAAAGGTCAAAATCTGAAGTGCAGATTGGGTGGACAGCGTTTTTAACGGTTTATGTAGGTATAAAATTCCTGTCTACTAAGAGCGCAACAGTGTAGGCTGAAATAGAACTGTTACCGTTTGAATACTGTACTTTAGCTAAAAAATGACATCAGAGTGGAAAATGGAGGAGTTATTAGTGAATTAGTTGCCTAAGTTCCACTTTCTTGCTGTCTCTCAGATACTATCTGGGGTTGTTGCAAATATACATAGATAAGTTTTATTGGTTTATAATTTGAGAGCAGACACCGTTTGACTTGTTTTTGAAGTCTTTGACATCTTTAATTAGGAGCGATTAAAGCGGTAATGGATCATTTTAAGCATCATTTTAAATTTAAATAGAGACCAGTTATTTGCAACGTAAGTAAGCAAAAAGTACCACTTTAAACCTACAAATAGTACTGAGAAGGAAGGTTTTCTGAAGCACGAAAAATCCTTATTAAGTTAAAGAGGATAGAGTGAAAGTGTTCTTACTCAGCATACGGAATATTCTCATTTTTATCGGTCAAAAAAGAAAAAATAAAAAAAAGCCTAAATTAATTTACTAAACCTTTTCAAAAGCATATGAGGCTATCTGAAACTCTTAGGGGACTTAGCAAAAACTTTATATACATTTTAATAATCTGACTTCGTAGGAATGGCCGGAAATAAAAAACCAAGCAAAAATACAACACCTTTTATATAAGTACGCAAGGCAACCTATTTGTCGTCATATAACCTTCTAAGCCATTATTTTTTGCAATGTCCATTATGTCGAAAAAAAAAAATCAGGTCGTTGGGTTATCGATACTTGAAACGCCGCTGATATCCGAGTTGTTTGTGTCATTTCAAGAATAAACCTCAACTTTCTGCAAATTCTTTAACCTAAAACAATCTTCTAAAGCCCGAACCTCAAATTATATGTCCAGTCAACCGTAGTTCATTTTTTTTATCAAATGCCGGTCTGTTCTTCCAATTTAGATTAAAATAGCTACAAAAAAATACCATTGTTAAATGTTCAGTCACTTCACAGTGGTTGTACAATTTTCATTCCACAGTCACAGCGAATGATTAGCTGAACAGATAAGAAACTCAGTCGTTGAAGTATCATTTTCGTATAACGAAAGACCAAAAAATTGTTTTTAACAGCATTAGTGTGTGGTTAATACCGACTACTACCGATTTTTAACACGTTAGGTGCTGAAGAGCACCTCCTGTAAACTATAAAAATTTATTCTTACAGATAATTTGCCGAAAAAGGATCTTTTGTCACGATTAGTTGAAAAGTTTTATGCTGTGGCAATTTTAAAAGTGCAAAATATTATAAGATGTTTTTCACGCGCTTTGTAAGTCAAATTTCAACTTTTATATATGATCAATTTTGTTGTCATAGTGGACAATAATTTCTGTAGATGTCTTTTCACTATTTGATGTTATTTTTTTA